ATACAAAATTTGTGACAAATAACCTGAAATGTTGATTTATCTTGAAGTTGATGCCTGAAGCTTTCACAGTTGAATGCATTAACCAACGATAATGACAATCGTTTTGGTCGTCCTGAAAATCACTCGGTGCATCGCAGACACAATTGTATAAGATGCAGACGGTCGATTACTGACATTATGTATTATACAGTACAATTGAGATTAGGGCTTACTGATATGTTTTTATGCAAATAATATTGATGTGACAAGTGGAGTAGTCAATAAGTAACTCTCGCTTGAAATTGCTCTTATTTATAAAAAATGTATTTTTCGTTCGAAGGAAGTTTTCATGATAGCAACAATTAATCTTCAATCTTCAACATCTACAATAAAGTCCATATCAGACTGTACAGTAAAAAAACATTTTGTGTTAAATAATATTCAAAATTGTTAGTATTAAAATCTTTACGTTAAAATAATACAATTTAATAAGTGAACAATTAATGAAAATAATGTATTTTAAAACGTAAATTCTAAGATAAATGAATAAAACATGTTACTTTAACATATAAATGTTAATTTTATGAAATATTTCTTTACAATTTATTAAATTGTGTTATATTTTTTATGTTAATTTTTACATAATATTATTTTCTAATATATTATTTTCTAATATATTTTTCTTGTGTTAAAGTAACATAAATTTAAATGGATTTTTTAGAGCACGTGAAGAGTGTTTTCAATACAAATTTTTCAATGGTGTACGCATTCAAATAATCAGATAATTTTAATTTTTATTTATTTCATTTGATTAATTGAATTCTAATTTCCAATTAATCAAATATGAACTTTAAAAAATTAGAATCTTCATAAGAATCTTCATAAGAAATTTGGATAAGCGAAATTGTTTTAAATTCAACAATATTATGATATCAAAATTTTATTAATTACGAATACATTAGTTTTTTATATAGTGGTAAAGATTTTGCCTTGAAAATATGCGAATTTTGGTGCAAATTTCGTGATGCCTAATTTTTTTACACGAGCTTTTTAAAAACCGTTCAAATTCGGTAAAACGTAGAAACTTGTTTGCCTGCCCAAAGCGATGAAAAAAGAGACCATAAATCTGTAGACAGTCGCGTGGAAGCGAGACAACGAACATAAAGCATCGTTCCCATCTATACAGATGAGTCTTTCTCTCAATAGTATAGTGAAAGAAATTAATTCGCCTGTGAAATTGTTTTGTCAGTATCGCCTATATTTTAAATGCTCTCTCAAACGATCCTCTGCATTTCTGATATTTAATGACAGCTCGTATCTTCAGTTATTTCGGAATGTCTGTCAGATAAATATGCACCTTAATCCTGTTACCGGCATTTCGATCCCTTCCCTATCTGCCAAACTCCCCCACTACAAGCGCGAATATCCAACCAGGTGCGCATGCGCTCGTCATTTCCCAGTAGCTCCGATCGGTCGGCCAATCAGGCACACCGGATGGCGACATCGCCGGCCAATCGGCGTCGCGTTCGATGACGACAACGCTATTTTCAGTCGGCGTGACTCACGGGATATAAGCGAGTACGTTTAGTTGGATGTTCACAAGTTGTCGGACCACCGTGGCGGACAGGGTGATCCGCGTTCGCGCAAAACACGTCGCGATCCTGTGTTACGGTAACGTTATCATTCTGTTGAGCAGAAAGATGGTACACGCGCACCACGTTGTGTCGTGAGTCATTGTTGTGTTGACAATCGAAGCAGGCGGGAGGCAGGAAAGAGAGCAGACAGGCGAGCAGGCAGGCAGGCAGGCAGGCAGGCAGACAAGCAAGCAAGCAAGCAAGCAAGCAAGCAGGTTGCCGCTTCTTAGCACAGACCGGTTGTTGTCGCATCGACATAGTGCACGCCAAAGACGTGCATTAAACATCACTGTCTTCTGCACCGATTTTAGTTGACTTTGATCGACTCCGCTATCAAGTGTCACCCGCGCCGGGGTGATTGGTGCGCGATATACGCCGAGTGACGTGACGGTGGGACGGACGGAGGTGCGGCGTGGAGTAAGGAGAGACGACAGTCGTACCGCGAGTGAATTTTTGCGTACAGCCGCTCGCGGCTGTTATGTAATCGCTGCAGCGCGGAGCGAAGTGTTTGACGTAGGCAAAGAAGGAGAGAGAAAGATAGAAAGAGAAAGAGAGAGAACGAGAACGAAAGACAACGGAGAACGTCGCAGAAACTCGTTGACGTGTTGAAACTTCAGGAAAGTCCGTCTTTCTATTTAACTCTTCGGGCCGGCTTAAGTGAGTCGTGTGCCACTCCGGGGGGAACGACCGCTTTCCCGTCCGGAGGCAAAAAATTAGAAGGAGTCGAGGGTAAAACCTCAATATTCCCTAATCGAGGAGAAGTTAATTAGTCCGGCGGCATCGATGGTGCGCAGCCTAACGATGGAGCAGACGTTCTACGAGGACGCGAGCGTCTACGGTGCGATGAACGGTCGCGAGAACAGCGTGGTCCAACTGAAGCGGAATCTCACGCTCGATCTGAACGGTTGCCAGAGGCAGGGCTCGCAGGCGAAGAGGCCACGGTTGGGTCCGCTGCCACCCGCTCTGAACAACGTCACCCCGATTCTAAGCTCGCCGGATCTGAACATGCTGAAGTTGGCCTCACCCGAGCTGGAGAAATTGATTATGACGCAACCGGATGGTCTGGTAACCAGTTTACCCACACCGACCACCCAGATCCTCTTCCCCAAAGCGGTCACCGAGGCCCAGGAGTTGTACGCGCGCGGCTTCGTCGACGCGCTCAACGAGCTTCATCACTCCGATAGCTCGCAAGAACCCGGCAGCATGCACGGTGCGACGTACACGACTTTGGAGCCGCCCGGTAGCGTGCAAAGTACAGAGTCCACTATGAGCAATCCCGGCCTGGTGCACGTCAAGGACGAGCCGCAGACTGTGCCGAGCGTGTCGAGCACGCCACCGATGTCGCCGATCGACATGGAGAACCAGGAGAAGATCAAACTGGAGAGGAAGCGGCAGAGGAACCGCGTGGCCGCCTCCAAGTGCCGACGGCGCAAGCTCGAGCGCATCTCCAGGCTCGAGGACAAGGTCAAGCTGCTCAAGGGCGAGAACACCGAGCTGAGCGGCATCGTCCACAAGCTCAAGGAGCACGTGTGCCGGCTTAAGGAGCAGGTCATGGACCACGTGCACGCTGGCTGTCAGATCATGACCGTCAACAACCAGTTTTGAACCTCCCGATCGCTCTCCCTCCCCAATCGAGGAGGGATGACGAATGAGCCAGCCCTCGCCCCGCTCTTGGCCACCCCTCGAGGATTCGCTGTTACTGTGCTCATCATCTTCTTGCCCCATTGCGAAGGTAGTTTTCGCGAATAGAACGAGCAGTGAATTTTCTTACAACTACGGCCGGTGTGTTGGATCTCCTTTTTTACGATTCCAATCGAAAAGGAAATTCTCGGTTGGCGCCATAGACTTATCGTTCGGGAACGTCTCTCTTCTTACCTCAACCACACGAATTCTTTGTTTTTTTTACGATACCAAAAAGAAAAAAGATAAAGTTCAATCATGTCTTTCGATATCACCAAGGAATTGAGGAGAGACAGAAGAGGCAGTATCTTCGACGAGCGCAGGATAATTCCATCATCCTGAAGAAGGATCTTCGTAAAGAAGGAAGGGAGAAAAGGAGCGAGTCCATCGTTCGCATCACGTTCGCTGTTTTCTCTCTTAGCTCTTTTGTGACATGATCGGGGAGGAGACGATCGTACAACGAGGCAAGAACAGTAAGCAGCAGGCGGAGCAGGAGAAGAAGGAGGAGAAGGTGGTGGTGGTGGTGGTGGTGATGATCGTGGTGGAGAAGGAGGAAGGAGTGCCTTCGTACACAACGTGAAACGTAAAGGATGCTTTTAGGAGAGTGGCAAGCGTGCGCGCGTGCGTGTTGCGCGAAAGACTTTACACGCACGAGCACGCTCGGCGACAGGCGAATGCGTGTATCATATGCGAGAGAGAAAGAGAGAATGGATGTAACAGGAAGAAAATGTATGCATGCACAGAGAGAGAGAGAGAGAGAGAGAGAGAGAGAGAGATCGCGCGAGGTAGCACGAGGGGGAGTATCGCGGCGGCCATTTTGGAGAACGCGAGAGAACCGGCGGGAGATTCAAAGCTATCGAAAGTTGTCCAAGTAAACACCAACTAACAACAGTATAAATATTATAATTTCATCCTCAGTAATGTAACTGTTATATACAACATGTGTCATGTTATGTCATCATACAACATGTCACATTTATCAATCGAGAGATTATGTTTATTTTTTACTGAATGCACTTTCGCGAGACTGACTCGAGCATTCCGCTAGTCTTGTAAACTTCTACCTTGGTGCATACAAAATTTCACATTATATATAATGTTACATTATCTTCAATGTGAAATTATAACATTGATGTTACGTTACTATTGGTGTTTACTGAGTGAAGTTTTTTTCTTTCCTCCATCTTTCTTCCCTTCGTTATCGAACAAACAATCGTCATTCAACGATTCGCTCCGTTTTCAAATTTCAGGAAGGCTTGAAATTTTGCGTCCAGGAACAAGATCGATAAGAATAGCCATTAAATCGATAGAAAGCGAAGGGCTCCTTCTTTCTTTCTCGGCAGTGAACGGCAGTGCCGATTTTCTTCTCTACGCGGACTCGCATACTCGGTTCGCTTATATAATTTTGATATGGGACATGTTCGCTTTTCTAGTGACATAAATCAAGTTTCGAAAATTGTTCCTTTGACACAAATACACCCCCGAATACGCTCGAGGTGATTTTTAAGCCTCGTGCCAAGTTGCGAGGATCGATTTGTCGAGTATCGACGATCCCCGCGTTCATCGTCGGCTCTTTTTTTTCGATGCGAATGAGGGAGATGACTGTGTATTTTTGCGAATCAATCAAAACGAGAGATTCTCATCTTCGGAACCGGAAGGAACCACGCGACCGATTACATGTGATAAACGCAATCAAATCGGGAGATCACGTTTGCCTTTTATCGAATGCACTTTCGCGAGAGAGACTCGAGCATTCCGCTAGTTTTGGAAACTTCTACACTTTTGGTGCATATAAAATATTGACAAATTAATTAATTCTAAGGAGTAATATATTACGGTGCTGTACTATAGCCGCGCAGAAACGTGCATTAGGGCAGTTGTAATAACGTATTCTAACGTATCGGGCGACAGAATCGATCGACTATCGAAGTGTCGAAACGAGCTTGATTTAATAAGTAGCGTATGTCTCGCGCTAATTCTTTTTAAATAAATGGAAACATAGTTTCAAATTTTTATTACAATATATATTTGTCTATATATATTTGTCGCGAAAAGATTGAATCTTTGACAATGACAAATTAAAGTATTTTTCTAATTGTGATCAGTGAAATTATGTATTATGTGTACATAAATTATAAAGAGGCACAATCCTTTGCGCCGAGTATATATATATATATATAAAATTTTTTAATTGTTAAAATTGTAAAAATATGTACAGATTGTTTCAGTATCTTCCATATGTACGTATTTTAAATCGCTTGATTGAAGAGTCATTTGAATAAAGAGATATCTACGCTATGTTGAGAACTATCGGCAGAGAAGACGCGTTTGCTATACAATCATATGCCTCGCCCCGCGTGCAATTAATCACGATTGACATTGTTCGATATTTCTTCTAAGATAGTCGATATTTTTCTCCGACGTGCCTCGACGTCATTTCGCCTGCAACGCGCTGATCGGACGGTACCGAAGTAGCCTCGTTTTTAAATCCGCTTTTGGAGAAGAACTAGCGCTATTAAGGCTGTACAAATAGAGTAGTGTTTGAGAGCAGTCGTGCGTATTGAACTTGTCAAAGAATCCGTCATTCTGGGCGAAAAAAAAATGGACGCGGTGTACGCTCGCGGTGTGAGGGATTGTCCTGCAATCGCCTGACGCGTGCCTATTAATCTAGATTACGCTTGATTACCGACGTACAAAGTACCAAGGCGAATCACGCGTAATTATACGATCGATCGGATCACGCTCATCATCGTCCTACAGGATAATCGAGAAAATTGGTTCCAACTATGGCTCATCCAACGCGAAAAAAATGATTAGTCAAACAAATAAATTTTGCTAATAAAAAATTCGAAAATGCGATCAATTTTCTACGTGAAAGAAAGATTTTGCTGAAATTTGAAAAATTTACAATAATAAATGATTTGTTAAGATCATAATGTGAATACACAACAAGTAAGAATATTAAAAGCCTATAATGATCGAAGAAGGATTTTTAATGCTTTAAATAATTCAATGTGAATTAAACAAATTAGCTCATGAAAATAATTTTGTTAGATTATCAAAATAATGTAGAATGCTTAAGTGTTATGACAATGTTGTAAAAAGTTGTAACACTCTAATCAGTTTGAGCGTTTGACATAATTATTTGATGGACAAAAATAAAATTATTTTCAAATCAATTTCAAATCCAGCTGAAATTTTAGATACTTCATCAAATCATTCTTTCTGCGTACGAATTGGAACGGCGGATGACGTACTTAAAGATACGGAAAAATAATTAAAGTAGCCTCATATTATGTCTTTTTATTGGTACACCGCGTTCATTCGTGCGATAGGAAGCCCAAAATCTTTCCCTTAGCTCTTAAGCCGGAGACGGCCAGCGAGTCACGTTCTCCTCTTGGTTCTTCTGCGCGTTTCATAGCGCGTAGAACTCCATTTTGTCATATGTGCATCTAGTCTTGTCCAGTATGCCCTTGTAACTTGTGCGCGACGCGTATGCGTGAGCCGCATACCACATACACACATACACTTATACATGTGCAGATCCGGGATGCACATACGCGTACACAACAACACGATGGTCGTCGCGACCGCGTTTAATCACGTGTCGTAAGCTGCACGGCGTCGGGAGGCGTCGCGACGTCGGTCATCTGCGATATCGGACTCGCCATACTGGAACCGGCAGGCGTCCACATTACTGGAAATACACACTCGTTTCTCTTACGACACACGGAACGGTTTTGTCGAATCTCCAAGAGTTTAGCTAGTTATATATACACGCAGAGAATTTTTTCTTAGAGTTTACTCTAATAAAGAAAATATGATAGTCGTGAGACAACATTATATTTCGAAGAATTTTAATATAAATCCCCCTCATTCATTAATAAAACTATAATAAAGTATAAAATAAGTTTGATTAATTTTACTAAAATGCATAGTAAAAATCTTTAAAATATTGTATCACAACTACTATATTTTCAGGATAAATTTTAAAAGAAAATTCTCTCCGTGTAGATTTAAAAATAATTACCATCAAAATAATTGTATGTAAGACACCTCAAGCAAGATAGATGAGATTTACGGGTTATCTATCTTGATATATCGTTAAATGCAAACGTTTCTTAAACATTGCAGTTCATTTCACCAGGGCGAGAAGTAATCCGACACTGCCCAGATATGATGATACTGCAAAAAATTTTAACATTCTAGCAACTTGAGCTTCTACCAGCTTTATGGTCCAATATTTTGATGGTCTAACATAATTACTTTCTGTATCTAGCTAAATTTTTAGACACTTCAGCAAAGTTCTTTCTGTGCACAATACTGACGCACATTCACTACTATCGTACATCCCCCGTACTCTTGGCGCACACGAGACCGTATAATATATTTTGATACGAAGACCGCGTAGGCTGAGGACGCACGCAAGTTATTGTTGATATCGGCATGATATCGGTAATAAGTAAACCTCCTATCTCTTTGCAGGGAAATATCCTTGTATCGGATGTTCAGTTTAATCTCTCTGTTCGGTTACACTAGTCAACAAATAAAAAATGTTTTTGATAATATGAATCAAATAAGGTGATTCTTAATCATTTTTGTTCATTGAATACGAATATATCAGTAAAATTTTATAGCACAAGTTTTTATATACAAGCTTTTTGTTATTGAAATATTTATCAGAACGTCATTTTTGATAAAAATATCTGCTTTACTTTGCTTTAGTAATTTTTATCTCGCGAGACAGATTTAAAATTTTCCTTTCAATCTTTGTGAGAAGAGATTTACATAACAATGTATATAGCACGCAAGAGAAACTCAACTTTTATCCTGTTCTTTGACAAATGTAAGCTGTAAGCTTTTTTCAAAATTTTTATAAGCGACGTATTTTTTGTGATTTCATAATGAAAGAGCCACACATATAACATAATTTCTTTGGCACATTTATACAAAATCTGAGAGCGAATGTAGCAGAGTAGATAACTTATTGATCTGCTATGCTAGAGATCTCAGGTTTTCCCGGGAAAACTAAAATATTTTCATACACTCGTTCTCCTCTCGAAAGGAAATGGCAATCATCGAGAGTATCCTTGCCAAGAATACTTCTCTAAACAAAAACTTCGTTTGGAAACTTTGTTTGGAATCGATTAATCGACATTAAACTATAGATCCTATATAGATTGTACGATATCTCAGATATGAACAACAGGACTAAAGAGACATAAAATCTGAGAAGAATTCGCCATATTTAAATTTTCAAGTATTAAAGTCTTTTTGACTACATAAAAGTAACATGCCATGACTTTTTAAATTATTACAAAAATATAGCCAATTTTAATAAATATGTAGTTCAATACTGTCAACTAAACATTTATTTAAAGTAAATAAGTATATCAAATACGACATAGAATGTCATAATTTCTATCAAAGTTAGATGTTTCGAATAATACAATTAAATAAATTTATTTCAGATATGATTGCGCGCCGATAACTTTCGGATTTCCAACACAATCAGTCTGAAACGCTTCCAAATTCCCTCTAAATTAAATTTAGAAAAATTATAAAGACATTGCGAAGAGTATTACCTCAGCCAGGATACATAAAAATAAATATATGTTTAATAAGAAAAAATGGTTCTTGTATTAAAGAAATACATCTTTATATTTAATAAATATTTAGCTGGCAATATTCAACTAATATTTTTAAAAATGACATTATCTTTTCTCAATGTAGATATGAAAAATAGAGTCAACAAAGAAGTACAAAATATAAGTTTTATCAATATCGGAACTTTGTTGACCAGTGTTATCCGTAAAGTTATCAACGATCCAAGAATTTTTAAATAACGATTGCTACTGCGCTCTTTTCAAAATGCGTTTCGAAGAACTCGGATATAATCGAACGGAAAGATTGGAATGGGACACCTTGTAGAGGGGAGCGAGCAATAACAAAGCAATCTTACCTCCGTTTTGCGCATTATCTAACGCGAGACGGATCGCGCGCGCGTGATCGCGAAGAAAAATACTTCACAAGCGGGAACGGGGAAAAATATCGCGATTACGTTGCGCAATCCTTCGCGAATAATATCCTCGTCCCCGTAACTTTATCCAAGAATTTCCGAGTCTCTTATCGGCGTAATCAGAGCAGTGATCGGAACAATTATTTCATAAGGGCGACTATCGTGATAAAAGGATCATGAAAAGAGACGAGTGATTTTTTTTACGCTTTGTATTGTTTCGCAGGATATTTTTGGAAAATGGTGAAATAAAAATCGACATTCGATTAGAACGAGGATTAAGCGTGAGCTCTAACAATAAGATCTGTCGCTCGCGACGAAACACACGCGGACGTTTCTTTCTTCGTGCGGACGTTGCGTAACGTCGTCGCGCGAAATCTAACGGGTGTGCCCGGTGCGAGCGGGGACCACACCTATCGATTTATCTGCGATCTCGTATCTCCTCACACGTTAGAAGAAAATATATTTTACTAATAACATTTCTTTGAGCGATGTTTTTAAGTGGGCAAAAATTTTTCTGTGCGACGCACGACTCGTGTATGTCAGACGATTTTTAGACGCGAGAATGGAGCTTCAATCAAATTAATTAAGCGCGCTGAAACGATAGGCGAATCGGCCCTCTTCGCGACGTAGATCGCGATCGATCTTTTACAGTACACATTTATGACTTACGCACATTTTTATCGAGTTGAGAAGGAGGAGGACGCCGAAAGTGCTTGCGCGAACTTGCGCGCTTATTCGACATTTACGATTGTCCGTTGGCCTCGTTCTCCCTCTCTCTGTACTTTCTTTTTTTAACATTGACACGAGAATGTTAAGATATATTTATTTCTTAAGATTAACTCCCGCTGATACTCGTAATGATCGCTACGATAATCTACGCTTTGTGGAAACAAATAGAATATTAAGAACAAGAACAGA